TCTGAGGAATCAGTGTTGCGTCTTAAACTCTGTGGGGAACGCAGATATATATATATAATAAAAACTACAAAGCAGGATTAACGAAATTTCGAGCAATCGAGCCCATGTTAACGAGAATGCGGTCATGCGAGCAGTTGCGAAAATTTTGCGAGCACGAGCAAGCGAGCACCCGTGTAATTTTTGCGAGCAATTGGAGCAAAGGCTAAATTTTGCGAGCACTTTTAAATTAAATGGGACCATTCCAAACCCCTAATGGATATTTTGTTGGCAGGAGTCACACCATTTAACATGGCAACGCGTATAAATCTCCAGTTTCAAAATAGCCTAAATCTGTTTCGATTTTTTTTCGCTCTGAATGCTTCACTCCTATATTTCTTCCCACAAATTTAACTTAATATTCATTTCTAATGACTTAACGACAACTTGCTCCTGCACAGAACGTTTCCTTTAAAGTTTTCGTTTGTTGTCATGAAACGGATTTGGTTACAGTTCGAAGCAAGAAATGCATTTAAGATACTGAACTGATTCTCTCTGTACTGGAGCCAAGTGAATCCTTGGTGGAATATATGTAGTACTAGAACGTACAACCTTTTAACAAGCTATTTCCTCTTTATAAAGATATGTCCAGTGAGGCCGTCAGGATTTCTCAAATTGGACTGTAATCGAAACAACTTCGCTTAACAATTCGCCGTAAATATCTAATGCAATATCATTTCGTTCAAGGCTTCGTGAATGCATTCCGTTCTTTCAAGTGTTTTCAGGAAATGCATATCATGGGAAGACTGGTAGATATCTCGATTTGCATGTGCGAAACGCATCCATGCCATCAGTGCCTTATCCGTCGGTATATTTCGACGCTAACAGTGTAGAGCTCATCTTGGTCACTGAATCGAAGAACAATAAACAGCTCTTACCTCACTTAGGTTACTGGTTCAGAGAGGTTTTCGTTCAATGTTGGATGGATTAGCTGGTTGCAAACAACGAGAACCCTTCGCAACGTCGACCCGAAACACGAAATGTGTGACAGTTAGGAAATAGTACGCAGACTCGACCGTGTTCCCGTCAGTTTTTTTTGTTTGTTTGTTTGTTTTGATAGGATATAGGGATTTACTGTTGGACATATTTTGAAGCAAATATGGTGAATTGACTCTCGTTTTAGAAGGCGTCAACGACACAGCTTCCACGGCAATTGCCCCGTTTGGGCCTAAAAGTTTCATCCAGCTTGATTTATTCTTTAAAAATTTTCTTTGAAAGTGTCCAAGTTTCAGAACTTTAAGGGTTTTTTAATCTTTTCTTTTTAAATATTGGATTTCCTCACGAGTGCTGAATAAACTTAACTTGAACTCCTTCAAATCCCATTTGTTAAGGACATTAGCCAGAAGGCTAATTTTTT